GTGAGGAGGGGACCCCTCACCTCCTCACCTCTCACCCGTGCGCCCGCCGAGTCGAGGATAGGCAAACCCGCAACACGGCGGCGCGTGCTCTGAATCACCCGGTACGCCTACCATATGCACTGAGGCCGTAACGGCAGAGCGATGCAATGGTATGTCACGTTATAACGAATGTGACATAAGAATGTGACACAATTCACATTATATTTGGTGTGACGTCACAGTATTTAAATAACAGTGCACGGACAGTTTCCTTTTCAAGATTATTAATCAATACCTAAAGAGGGCACCAACGTGGTGTTGGGCCATAGCTTAGCTGTTGCCCAGGGCCTCCCCTGCTGTCTTGCCAGAGCCCGTTGGTTAGCAGATCATAGGGGTGGCGGCGGTGGCAGCGCGCGGTAAGGGCGAGAGGGTCCGAACTGCTAGCCGGGCGGTCCGGCCGGACCGAGGACCATCAGGACACTTACTGTAAAGGTCATGCCCATCGTTGTCCAGGCGGGCCCGGGCACGCCTATGGTCGCCCGTGCTGGAGACCATAGCGAGTACCAGCGAGTAAAAGTCCTGCTGCTGCTCTATCGCGTTCCTGGTCGAGCGGCCGACGACCTGGCCTGGCCGAAAGGTCACAAAGGTCGTTATCGAACTGGCCGAGTGAAAACCACGGGACACTGTCTGCGGGCGGATAGCGGCCAAGGCTCGAGGGGAAGACAGGGCCGCTACGACTGACCAGTGCAAATAAGAAACAACAACGCGGGTTTGCGCACTCCCCCGTCGTCCGTAAGGCGCCATGACCAGTAAGAAATGCAATATCGTATCGATGCCAAAATCGACGTCGACATGGTTTTTACGTCGATTTATGTCCCAAAATGACGTCAAATCGACGAAATCAAATTTCGACGTTGATTCGATATTGCATTTGAATGCTGAAGCGGGAGAAGGCGATAAGTCCATCGTTATGACGCCAAACTTATCCCCTTCTTCCGCTTCTTCATTCATTTGTCAATGGGATGGCACCTGATGAGCTAGC